CCCCAGCTCACGGGTCCCGGGCGCCCGCCATGGCTCTGGGCAACACCCGGGCACCTCCACCCCCGATTTATAGACGGGAAACCACAGCCCTGAGTCATGGCGGGGGCGGGGGGCTGGGGATGGGCCCCCCCAGACCCAAAAGGGCACCCCAAAACAGCCGGGGAAGTGATGGCCCCGAAGGGATGGGGAACAGACACCCCAAAATGCAGAGGAATGCACCAAAATGACTGGGAACGGATGCCCTTAAACAGCTGGGGTGAGATGCGTCAAAATGCCCCAAAATGGCCGGGCAGAGACACCTCAAAATGTAGAGAAATGCCCCAAAATAGACCGGACAGAAACACCCTGAACTGGCCGGGCAGAGACACCCCGAAATGGAGAGAAATGCCCCAAAATGGCTGGGCAGAGACACTTCAAAATAATCGTGAAGAAACACTCTGAAACGTCTCAAAACGGCTAGAAAAAGACACTGCAAAATGTGGGGAAATGCCTCAAAACAACTGGGCACAGACACCCTAAAATGGCTGGGCAGAGACACCCCAAAAAGAGGAGAAATGCCCCAAAAGAGCTGGGCACAGACACCCCAAGTCAGCCAGGCAAAGACACCCCAAAATGAGGAGAAGTGCCCCAAAACAACTGGCCACAGACACCCTAAAATGGCCAGCCAGAGGCACCCCAAAATAACCAGGGAGAAACACCCTGAAACCTGCAGAAATACCCCAAAATGGCCGGACAGAGACACCCCAGATCGGCCAGGCAGAGAGGCCCCAAAATACAGAGAAATGCCCCAAAACGACCAGGCACAGATACCCCAAAATGCAGAAAAATGCCCTCCAAATGACTTAGCAAAGACGCCTCAAAACAGCTGGACAGAAACATCCCAAAATGCTTAGAAGTGTCCCAAAATGGCCAGGCAGAGATATCCTACAATGGCTGGACAGAGACACCCCAAAATATCTGCAGAGAAACACCCTAAAACCTGCAGAAATGCCCCAAAATGGCCAGTCAGAGACACCCTGAATTGGCCAGGCAGGGACACCCCAAAATGAGGAGAAATGCCCCAAAACTGACACACCTCAAAAGGCAGAGAAATACCCTAAAATGGCTAGGCAGAAACACCCCAAATTGGTCAGGTAGAAAACCCCCAAAATCTGGAGAAAATACCCCAAAAAGATAAGGCAGATACACCCCAAATCGTCCAGGAAAAGACACCCTAAAATGCAGATGAATGCCCCAAAATGGCCAGGCAGAGACACCCCAAAATGCAGCAAAATGCCCAAAACAGCCGGGCAGAGAAAACCCAAAACCAGCCAGGTGGAAACACCCCAAAAGCGGGAGAAATGCCCCCAAAAAGGCACCCTGAAACAGCCGGATGGTGACATCACAAAACAGGGGTGCTGCCCCCCCATTCCTGTGTCCTGTCATGCCAAAAAGCACCCCGAAACACCCCCAAAAAATGCTGTCGGAAAAATCAGCTACAACACACTCCAAAAAGCCGGGAAATGCACCAAAATGGACCCGAACCGCTTGGGCACCCTCAAATCCTTAAAAATTGCTCAGAAAGGGTAAAACCCCTCGACAAAGCCCCCCTCTGTACCCCCATGAGTTGGAGGGGGGGGGGCGTTTGCCAGCTGCAGGCCCCGACTTTTGCCCTTTTCGCGAGGAAATGGCGCACCTGAAACCTGCCGGTTTAATGTTATTTTTTTGACGCTTTCCGACTCCAAATTCGCCCCGCTTTAACCCAAACCTGCTCCCGGTTTCAGCACACTGGGACCTCTCCCCGGTTTCGGGAGGGAAAGGGGGGGTTGGGGGTGTTTTTTCCCCCCCCTGGGACTTTCCCCAGCTTGAAGCAACTTGAAACTCGCCCTGAGACAGCAGGAAACCGGGGGGGGGGGGGCCAGGGGACCCGGGGGCCGGGGCCCGCCCCCCCCCCCCCCCCCCAAAAGTCCCCCCCCGGCCCCGCCATGGGGACCCCCAACCCCGTCCCCGTGGCGGCCATGTGCCGCGGCGTGAGGGCGTGCGCGGGCCCCTCGTGCGAAGGCCTTCGCACGCTGGCTGCCCCCCACCCCGCCTTGTGCCTGCGTGTGTTGGGGCGCAGCCCCCCCCCATCTGTCGTCCCCCCCGAACCCCGCTTACCAGCAGCACCCCGCTCGCCTGCCCGCCCTGCCCGTGGCACCCCGCTTTTTATGGTACCCCCCGCCGTGATGTCAGAGAACCCTCCCCCTCTTGGGGGGGGGGGTCCTGGGGGGCCCCCCCAAATCCTCCACACACACCCCCCCGCTTCCGCCCCCTCCCCATGGGGATGGGGGGGGCACCAGCACCGCCCCAAACTTTCACTTGTGCTGAAGCTCCCTTTTGGGGGGTGGGGGTCACAAAGGGACCAAGGCGTCCTGAGGACCCCGCTTCGCCCCCAGTGCCCCCCCCCCAAGGGCTGCAGGCACCTGGGGGACCTCGCTTTGCCCCCCCACGGCCCCTTGGGACCCACGAGTACAGGGATGCCCCTTCAACCACCACCCCCAAG